ACAGCCCTCCGCCCAGCAATTCAGTCCCTCAGGGAGTTTGGATGTGTCTGTGGTGCTTCCATGACCTTTTCTTGTTTAAGTTGTGCTGGTTTCCCCAGTATTGTGTACTGTCTCACCCTTTACCTAAGATACCACTCCAGAGGCCTTTTGAATTTGTTGAACCAGTTTCCCAAAAACCCACTGGCCACGTACCCTCCTTTCACAGAACACCACCCTCACCCTCATCCTGGGAAAGGCCTTAGCAAAGGTATGTAGGACAGTGTTTTTTTTTTTTTTCTGAGATCAAAGAAAGTCTCGTTTCCCCTCTTCCTCCGTGCCATCTGGGGCCGCCACAGGTCTCTCCAGCACCCACTGACCGTTGTAATTGAATAGTGTTTGGGGAGTGGGGAGGGTCAGATTGTTTGAAAGGTAGCTGGCTGTTTGGAATGTAAAGAACTGTCTCTCACCGTAGCTAGCCCAGGCAGTCTCCTTGTCAGGGTACACCTGGACTTCTGAGGGGAGGTTTCCCAGAGAGCTGCCTGCCTTAAGGTCACAGACAAGCAAAGGGACCTCTGGTGAGGGTGGCACCTGGCATGGGGTTCCAGCAGCCTCCCCAAAGCTAGGCCCCCTTAAGGCTGGGGGTGCCGGCATGGGTGCCTCAGATTACCCCACCCAGGGCCCCCAAAGGAGAGACTTGGTCTGGTACTGAAAAATACCCTGGAAGGTCTGGCCCTCGGGCCACCCTCTGCTGCCAGGGAACATACCCTTTCGTCCACCCGTCTCCCAAGAGTTCTAAGCCAACTCCCGCCATTTAGAGCTTATTCTTGTGTGTGGTGTGAGGTAGGGTCTGATCTTACCTTTGTCCCAGGGCTTAGTCCACTGTCCCATCACCATCTACTTAAAAAAAAAAAAAAAAAAAGCCCATCTCTGTCCCAGCGAGATGCCACCTGCAGCGCCCATACTGGGTCCAGCTTTGGACTTGCCATTCCTTCCTTGGCCATCTGTTCCTTCTTCTCCAGCCCAGCCCTCCTAACTGGGAAGGCTCTCTAGAACGCTGTCATGTCAGGAGGGCTGGTCTTGTCTTTTTACGTTTTTACTTTGCTCCTCTCGCATGCCTGTTTTTTCTATGTGCCCCTAGATATTGCCGGGTCTAGCTCCACCAAGAAGCTACTAGGATTGTTAACTGGGCTTGTTACTGGGATTGCCTTGTATTTATCAGTCAGCTGGAGAGAGCTGATGGCTCCTGGTGTGGAGGCCGCCTGTCCCAGGACGAGGCTGCTGCTTGTTTAGTCTCATCTACCTCTGTGTCTTTCAGAAGGGCTATAAAGTTTTCCTCGGATAGCTTCTGCACATTTCTCATTAAAAGTATTTTTTCTTCTTTCTTGCAGTTCTAAATGAGTTTTTCTCTACCTCCTGTCTGGTGACAGGTTGTTATGTGTGACGGCTGCTGGTTTCTATGTGTTAGTGTTTTATCCTCTGTCTTACTGAGTTTTTTTGGTTTGCGCTCGCTTAGTCATTGACAGTCTCTGTGTTCTGGGGATAGCGTCACATGGTGTGCAGATCCCGGGCATGTCACCCCTTTCCCTAGTCCTTACACCTCTCCCAGCTGCCTGTGTCTATGACTCTAACCCTGCTGGGTGGTCAGGGCCATGGGCAGGTGCCCTGCTCAGACCTGAGTGGAAACATCGCTCCTGCTTTTCCATCTGTCAGCTGCTGGCTTTCATCCTGACCTCATAAATGTATTTTTATCATGTTAAGAAAATATTGTTTCCTATCTTCTTGTATATGTTCATCAGGAGTGCTGTTCAATTTTTGTCAAAGACATTTTCATTATCTACTGGGTGTAAGTCTTATTATTTTCTTTTTAGGTCTCTTATTGGGTATAGCGTATGAATAGATTTCCTAGTATTGACTTGACCTTGCATTCCTGGGACACACACCCCCGAGCCGTGTTGTGTCAGTCTTCATGTGATGTGGGGTTCTGTTTACCAAGTTTTTATGTAAAGTTTTTGCATTAATATTTCTAGGTGATAAGACTTGCTTTTTACTCCCTTTTTTCCAGACTTGAGCCTTACGCAGACCCTTACTATGACTATGAAGTAGAGCGGTTTTGGCGTGGTGGCCAGTACGAGAACTTCAGGGTGCAGTATACGGAAACAGAACCGTATCATAACTACCGAGTGAGTATGATGGAATACGCGTGTCTGGGCTTTACGGGAAATCTGTTCCTGAGAGTCATCCCCCTCTCATTTGTATAGGACATTCTATGGTCTGCAGTCCGTTGGCACTAGGCACTCATCTCAAACCTAAATTGATTGTGGAGAGTTCATTCAGGTTCATGGATTAAAGTTGTGGTAATTTGCACAGGAGTTCCTGAGTTTATCTGTGCTCTAGCTGTGGTGTTTTAAAATTGGGATTGCTGATTGGGTTATTGACACCACAGGCTTGCAGAGAGGGGGATGTCATCCTCCTGAGCTTGCTGTTTTCGAGCCTGTTAGTTATAACATTTGTAATTGTAGTGCTGATTCGCTTTCAGTCTGATAGCCTTGTTCAGGACGGTGCTGGGCCTCTGCTGGAGCGTACATAGGTGTCTCTTGGAAGACTGTGCCATCGCGCCGTGTCTCCTGTATCAGTCTGAGCCTCTGAGAGTTCGCTTTATTTATAAATACTTGTGCTTCAGACTGGGAGTTCTGAACTTTAGAGCTTTTAGGGTGACAGGGAAAAGCTACCCACAGGAAAAGATGGATTAGGAGCAGTCGTTATACGTGGACATATGTGGCAGAGGAGGGTAGCTGCCCAGAACCCCTCGGGTGAGCCTGTGGAGAGTGAACGCCTGCAGTGCAGAAAGACCCTGGCTGGCATCCTGTGCCCCCATGTCCCTCTGAGCAGTCCTCTGGCTGGGGTCAGCAGAAGTTCCTCCTGAGGCTGCTTCTCACCACAATCCTCTGCTCGTCCCTGAGGTGGGCTGGGACAAAGGGCATGGACACATGCTGCACATCCCCAGAGGCGGGTGAAGCTCAAAACTTTTCACACATGCTATGAACGTTTACTTTATTCTGTCATAACTTCAGAAGTTCACCAGATGAAAAATAGGAGCAGAGTTACAGTTGAAGCAGGTGTTTGAGGATTGTATTAGGAAAGAAAAAGAGCAACCTTCTGGGGGTGCTCATGCCATTCCAGACCTAAAGCGAAGTGCACTGCGAGTATCGCTGTTTTACCCCACGTGCACAAGGCTTTGCTCCTCCGTGTTACAGCTCAGTGGCTGCCCAGAGTGCTAAGCCCACAGCCTGACCACACTGCTGGAGAGCAGGTGGTGCTGGTCCAGCCGGCAGGTAATTGTGGTGGGACTCTGGACCGGCTTTGTCTGATGCTGCCAGGCCAGGTAGAATTAGTGCTCAGAACAATTTCCCGCTTAGTTTGGGTTTGACTGTAATGTAATATTGGCTCTCTTTCTTCACGTTGTGTTTTAAGGAGAAGCTTTGAGATAAAATTACCAGTTGAGATTGTTTCTTTGACCTCCTTCTTTTACTTGCTCTTTACTCTGTGCTTTTCACAATCAAATGTTTAAATAGTAGTTTGTGTGTTTGGCTTTTTAACCAAGGAAAGGGAAAGGGAGCGAGAGAGAGAGAACAGACAGCGAGAGCGAGAACGGGAACGGGAGCGAGACCGAGAGCGGGAGCGCCGGCAGAGAGAGCGGGAGCGGGAACGCGAGCGGGAGCGCGACAAGGAGCGGCAGCGGAGGAAAGAGGAGTGGGAGCGTGAGCGCGCCAAGCGGGACGAGAAGGACAGACAGCACAGAGACCGGGACAGAGAGAAAGAGCGGGAGAAGGAGAAAGAGAAGCCAAAGCCCCGGTCCCCGCAGCCACCAAGGTAGGCAGCCTGCCCTGGGTGTCCGGATGCTTGAGGTGGGCGGCTCCAGGAGGAGGGGTGACTGGCTGCATGCCTGCAGCCAAAATGCCTTGGCCTCATGGGTCAGCAGTTCCAAGCTCTGCCTCCCACAGCTCGGAGCCTGCAGACCAGGCCAGGTGGACTGTTACACAGCAGCTGCACCATTTTACAGTTCCAGCAGCGGGACGAGGGCTCCCGTGTCTCCGCTCCCTCACCAACGCTGATTACCATCTGTCTTTTTTTGTCGTCAACATCCTAGTGAGTGTGAAGTGGAATTTCATTGCTGTTTTGATTTGCATTTCCCTGATGACTAATGATATTGAGCATCATTTTGTGTGCTCGTTGGCCGTTTGTGTATGTTCTTTAGAGAAATATCTATTCAAGTCGTTTGCCCATTTTTTAATTGGTTGTTTGTCTTTTTGTTATCGAGTTGTAAGAATTCTCTCTGATGTAAATCCCTTATCAGATTCCTGATCTGCAAATATTTTCTCACCTTCTGTAGGTTGTCTTTTTGCTGTCTCGATAGTGTCTTTTGAAGCACAGAAGTTTTTCGTTTTGATCAAGTCAGTTTCTCATTGTTTTTTTTATGTGGATTGTGCTTTTTGTGTCATTTGAGAATCCATTGCCTAGCCCAAGGTTACAAAGATCGACGCAGCAGTTTGCAGTGAGGAGCCAACCTCAGAGCCCTAGGCTTCACACCAGCAGGTTGTGAAGTTAGGGAAGGGGTTGGTACGGATTCAGATGCTCTCCAGTCTGAGCTGGGCTGATGAGCCTTGGTTCAGGAGGCTCCTGACTGGCTTAGTTCTTCCCAAAATCGGGTCACTGTCCCCACGGTTTCTTGTCCTTCTGGGCTCGTGTCCTGTTTCTTTTCTTCCTAGAATACTCCTTGTGCAGTGGCTGAGTCATCTCGGTGCTGTGAGTCTCTGGCCTCCTGGTACTGATCTCCTGCTGCTGCCTGAGCGGCCAGGGTTTCACCAGACCAGAATTTCCAACACTGTGCTCCGTTTCGTCTCCCTTTGAGCAGCCCGAGCCAGCGTGACCACTTTTCAGGAGGTAGCTGGTTTCCTTTGCAGTGATGTGTACATCTGAATCTCCTTTTAGGAATAGGTAACCTGTGACAGGCTAGGAATTTTTAATCAGCTGGAGGGGAAGAACTTTTGTCACCTCAAATAGGAGATGACACTTTGAGGTATGAAGAGCCACGTGGGAGGATTCTGTTTTCAGCCACTGAGCGGACTGAGGTGGGGTTCTATGCAGGGGGGGATCTGCATGAGCATTGTCTCTGGGGTCCCATTGACATTCACAGTCGGAGCAGGTGATGGCAAATGCTAGCAATGCCCAGTTACTCTCCTGGTTGGTCTGCAGCCCAGCACTCAACAACGCTGACCCCAGGAGAGGGGGATGCAGGTGAACAGTAGTGAGGACCAAGAGACGGCTAGCCCTGGGCCGCTGTGTGCTTGTCCTCCCTGCAGCCTCGAGTGAGGAAAGCAGCAGAAAGCATGGCACCAAGGCAGCCCCAGCCCAGACTGCATCTCGTGCCGCTGCTTGATCCTCTCTCTCTTCTGAGGGAACCCCCTTGTCTCTTCCCACCAGCCTGCCTAGAGTTCTTCCTTACTGGCTTAGGCTGTCCACTCTGAGTCAGGTTACTGCCAGACCGTGTCCTGTTGGAGAGCTGCCTTGGGAACTCCCGCCAGCTTCCCTCCAGACCTTACCGCTGGATAGAGCCGCTTTGGCCCATTCTCCCTCCATCAAGTGATGGTTTTCCTCTTATGATTACAGCTTTTGAGACCTTTGCCCGTTCCCACATCTGGGCTATTTTTAGACTAGAACAAAACCTTTCAACCAGTTCTGTAAAATGCATCTTTGTAAATAGAGGAAGTCCCTTCTGAGATACTTGCTTCTAATCTTTATAGCCATGCTAGTGGGTGAGGTTACCTTGGTGAGGCTGAGGCCAGATAATTATAATGTTCCTGGGCATAGGCAAATTCATTTTATTCTAGATATAAAGAGTAATTTGGGACCTTCCAGTCAGAGGTACCTAAACTGCCATCTTCAAAGTGATTTCCTTAAACTTTAAAGTTTACCTTTGGGGCTTTTCCCACCCCTTGAGGGATTAAAATCGGAGGTTCTCCTGCTGCAGGGCACACCTCTTTGTCCTGGCAAGGTGGCGCTGGCCAGCAGTCCTTCACCTTCAGGCAGGTCTCCTAGTAATTAAAAGCCTCGTTGTTTTCCTGATCCTTCCAGGTCATCCAGATGTGGAAATGACTTCTCTGAAAGGGCCTTCACCAATCCCAGGGCCTCACCTGCCCACATGGCATTTGTGAGTGCCTACAGGTGGGTGCTCTTCAGGTTCCTACTTCACCCAGAGGTGCCCTGGCCATGCTTTTGCCTAGGCTGTCAGCTACTTCAAGGTTCCCGGGGTTCAGGAACCCTGACGCTTAGTACAGAGCCTCACGTATTGGAACGTGGTTTTCAGGGCTCACACATGTCACTTTCATCCTTCCCCAGAAAGGTTCAGAACCACTGTTATAGACTAGCTTTCTGGGTCAGGGGTGTTAATTTCCATTTTAATTTACTGCAGGTTCATTGCTGCCATTGGTATCTGCCTGTGCACTGAGACTTGCTCCTTGCAGGTGTGGGTGAACCTGCGTTACAAGAAGGGCTAATGGGCATCTCCGGCTTTGGCTGGTCCTTTGGACCCCCACTGTCTCTTTTGTCCCAAACAATGTTGTGTTTCCCTTGGTTTGCTCTCTGCTATTAGTACTTTAGCCCTCTCTGATTTCTTGAGAGAAGCAGTCTCCTGTTGTAGCCCTGCCTGGCGTTGGTGCTGGGCTAGGCAGTGGTTCATCATAGCCTCCTCAGTGCCATCCGTTGGCATGCAGGTCGTCCACCAGCAGAGGCGTCGATCTCACGGGTGTGAACATCAGGACTGACACCTCCACCGCTGTCGTAGGGCGGCATGCTTTTTCTCATCTTAAGTGTTTGTTCTCAGGTGTACAGTGTGTGATGAGTTGGCCCAGGGTCCTTTTTTGGTTTGTGCTGACATCTGCTTTGTCTCTGGGTGTGTTTATACTCGTAAAGGTACACTTCAGGGCAGCTGTAAGCGGGTCGCAGACATGCGTGACACAGGCCAGACCACCCTGTCCTGAATCCCAGCGCGCTGAGCAGGTTGGCCAGGCCTCCCACTCCATTCCCCAGTGACATCATTCTCTCTATGGTTCCTGATGACGGGAGGTTGCTCAAAGCTAGATTCCCCAATGCTGAAAGGTCTGTTTACACAGTTGCTGATCTTTCTATTGTTGCAAAGGAAACTCTTCTAAGAATTTAATAAATCTTATTTTACTTTTCTAATCTCTTTGTTCTCACCTATTGCTTAATTGCTTGGCTCTAAGAAAGTCAAATACTGGGTGCATTTTCGAGGAAAAGTGTATACTTTTTCTTTTCTTTTCTTTTTTTTTTAATTCCTTGACAACTTACCCAGTGAATTGCTCCCAGAGTCGCATATTTGACGAGATGAATAAATAGATAAGTAGTGGTGTTGTATCAAAATCTAATTATAGATGTTTCATGTCTATAAATCTTAGATAAATACAGATGTGTACAAGTATAATTATGAGTTAGAAACGAGTATTGTAGATCCTATTTGAATCATTATTCTGTCTAAAGTTATAGCTATTTGTTTATAGTGGGGTATCGAGGGCAGGTAGGAGTAGAAAGATGATACAAGAACCAAGGAATGTAAACAGGTTTGGAAAAGTCAGAAAGTGAGTCTTAGTGACAATAAGCCCTCAGCATCTGAAGCAGTAAAAAATCTTACCCACCCAGAACAGTACAATTTTTTTTTGTTTCTTATTAACCAGAAATTAAAACTTAAGTACATGGGAACTTGTGTATCATGATTGCTACCAGTTCGGTTTTTCTCAGACTTACTTGCTCAGGATTAAATTGAAACATGTTTTCACAATCTGGGGTCATAACATTGGGACTATGATCCCCCAGGTGTCCTCACTCTCTGCCTCCCACTGAATAATGAACGCCTGCCTTGCCTGCCTTCTCCCTCCCTTGGAAGGTGACTCTCAGCCCTGCCATGCATGAGTCATCGGGCCCTAGGACAAGCAGGCTAGGCCCTCAACTGGGCTCTGGAGCGATCTGGAATTCTCATTGAGTGTGTGGGTGGGTGGGATTTTGAATCGGCTGCATTTGGCATGTCTTGGCCCTCTGCAAGGTCTGGTCTGGAATGCAAAGTGGAGACATATTAGTAGGAGTTACAAGTCATACCTCATCCTGTCTGTGTCTTCGTCATTTGCGCTCAGGACCCTAAGAGAGGGCCAAGCAATGCGGTGCAGCCAGAGAAGGCTATATCCGGCAAAAAGTAGTGGTGGTCTCCCAGCCTTGGGAGGAGCAGGATCTCCACATGGTGGCTTTCCCAAGAGGGGTCGAAGTGCTGGGGGTTATTCAGAGACTGCTGTGAAGAGCTCAGCAGAGAGAGAGCTGGTGCAACTTGTCCCTCTGGCTTTTGAGCAGAAAAGGCTGCGATTGAAGCTGTGCGCTTTGGAGGTGATTGTGACACTTATAGGGAGCTAGGATGGGACATGGGGTGACACTTGGCGACTGTGGGCCCTGGTTTCTTTTGAGTTCTCAGGGAGGCATGCAGCATGCCAGGCCCTTTATTTGTCTCCATGAGGCTTCACAGGATGAAAGACGAGAGAAAAACTGCTAGGAAAAGCCTTCTAAGTCTTTCCAGAAATTAGTATAGTCAAGTGAGGAGGAAAAAAATCAAATTCCCTTTTTTTAGAAGAGAACTTTAGTCTGTCTTTATCCTTCTTTAACCATTGACCACACTTGGCAGCTGTTCTGGTGGAGTTTCCAGTCATGGTTGGTGCTGGGCTGCTTTGCATAACTCATGCCCATGTCCTTGTGTGGGTGGTGACATCACTGAGGTGTGTTAGGAGTGGACCCAGGGCCCTTTATGTTTTGCTTTGCTTCTAGATGTATTAACATTCGTAGTAAAGATGAACTTTGTCTCTTAGAGAGTCTGTCTCCTGTGGCCTTGATCAAAAGACACAAGACGTGGTGCCTTCATGATAAGATCAGCAAGATGTGTGGGAGGGAAGGCCACTTCCAGCGTCAGATTAACTGGGGAGGTGAAGGGCCTGTGCTTCTTCGAAGAGGTTGTGCGAATCCTGCCAGCGTGGCCCCCACCAGCTTTTTCTACTCACACTGGTTTCTCCCACCCATATCCTCAAAATGTACAGTGGTGAGCATGTACACGAGTGGGAAAGTGGCGTGCTGGGGTGGGGGCGGGGGGTGCGCACATGTTGGGGGATTGAGCTGTTTTTTGTTTTGGTTCAGTTGTTTGCTTTTGTCCCTGGCTTTTCCACGTTTGGTTAGGATCTGTGTTGGGGATGATTGTCATTCAGTCTTGGAGAGTAGTTGTCTTCCAGAGGGGTTTCTGCCCTGGTTTCTTCCGGCTGTCTTAGAGAGCAAAGTGACAGGCCCAGAGGCCTGCATCAGCGAGGGCAGAACAGAGGTGCCTGCTGACGGGTCCCTGTTTCGAGAGCTCTCAGGAGCTTCCCCCAGCCCCATCAGCCCCAAGAGCCAACTGGCCTGAGCTCAGTGCCTCAGGTGCCTCCTCTACCAGGAGTCCAGGAGCACACTGGCCTGCACTCCACCCCGCATGTCTTGGTTCAGTATTAACTGTGCCATGTCTGATTTACTGATGCGCACACCACTGTTTCCTTTGCTCCCCTAAGGGTGGTGGAGCTTGGAGGTGAGCTGGGAATGACGTCGCCTGCTACTGTAGTAACTGCTCATCCCTCTAGTGAGAAGGCCTCAGGGCTGTGGACAGCTGTCCTCCATCCCTGAGCTCAGAGGACTGCCACTGGGCATAGGTTATTAGTGAGTTCCTCAGAGCATGTGGTAGTCAGCAGTACTGAAAGATTTCCAGATGTATGAAACAAACAGTATTGGAGGTGTTTCTTGGGATAAGTGTAAAACACAATGATTTTTAGAACATTTGGGTGTCTTTCTAGAGAATGAAGGGGAAATAAGGGAGGAAAGGTTCCTGGAGACAACTGCTGGTCTAGCCCTGTGGTTTACTCCCTCTGAAATGTTTCTGTACTTGTTTGTGGAGATTTGTTAGAGTCGTGATCATACTTAATCTTGCCTCTTTGGCCCTCACTCATACTATGTGAACATTTTTCCCAAGTGAACTCTTTATTGATTGCTTACCCAGTCATTCTTCCCAAAACACCTGCTCTTAAATTGACGACCGATGTCGGAGCTCATTTTTCCAGAGAGTCTGGGAGAGACATGAAGGGGGGTTTGGCTCAGTCATATCTGACCATGTCATCTACAGAAGTGACCCATTACACGAGCATCCCCAGCTTACTTCACCCCTGTGCCCTGTGTGATTTTCTGTATTCAGTACCTCTAATACTATTTGTTTAAATTTTTATAATAGTTCACTTTTTAAATTTGCATACATTTTGAAAGGATATTTGTATCATTGCTATGGGCCAGGTCTGCACAGGGCTCACTCGGGGAGGTGGGGTGCCCAGGCCCACCTGTGGCACTAGCCACACCTGCCAGGCATCATCCTGCTAGTAAAGGAGCTAGTGTTCTGGTAAGACAGCTGACTAAGACTGTGGAGGACCTGGGCTGGCCAGCCTCCCTGAGGCCAGAAACATAGGATTTTCCACACTGAAATCTGGGCATAAGCTAAAGCCCTTTTTCTCCTTCCCCATGACTGCAGTAAAGGTCGGTAAATACTGGTGTGGCTCCATTCTCACAAGGCACAGCTGCTGACCACCTCTCGGTTTCCGTCCACGCCCCTCCAGTGTTAGGATGCTTTGGGCTAACAGGGTTGCACCATTCTGATGACTCATGAGAACCTGAAACCAAGGTGTTGGGTTTCCTGCTGGGTTTCAGGAGGAGAATAACACAGGAAGTATAAAGGTGAAAGCAAGTACAGAATGGCCTGGGATGATCAAATGGTTTTCACTTCCTTCCTAGATTGCTTTTCCAGGAGGATGTGTTTATGGGGCCGTGGCTCTTCGGGACTTTGGCTGAGATAACAGGAACTTAAAGCCATGATCCCATGTGTCCTGAAGGTAGTTTTAAATGTTGGGTGTTGTTCCTGGTATGGAGTTGTTAGCAAACAGCAGGCACAATGCTGATTAAACAGAAGTTCACACACAGAAGGAGGCAATGTGTTAAAAATCTTGTCCTGTAATACGACTAGATGCTGGTTCACAGAGAGCCGCTTACAAAGCCAGGTGGTGGTGGTGGAGACTCCTGTTCCGAGTAACACACTAACTAAACATCTAAGAAAAGGCAGGACCTTTGATGAAGAAAACTGGGAACTTTTGCTGATGCCCATAAAGTCGACTTGAGATACTTCATTTATTGTATTAAAAGGCTTAATGTTGAAAAGATATTTATTCTCTTCAAGTTAATAAGGTTAATGAAAAACCTGTAGGTACTTCTGTAAGTGCACATGGGCAAGATACACTGTGAAACCTTGGAACAGTATATAGGGAGATTAAATACACTTGAACCTGTGTGCAGATATGGATCTAGGGTGAGAGTAGGTGGGTTCCTGGGCACCCATCCCCTGAGCAGTCCCCAGAGAAAGGGAGAGTGTGCACATCAACAGTGGCGTCCCTGTCACCAGAGGAGAAAAACCATTCAGTGGTGCAGCCAGGATAGCTGGCAGGGAGGAATTTAGAGTCTCCTCCCATTCTGTATACTTAAGCTAACAGATCGCAGGTAGACTGGAGAGTAGCGTTTAAGAAAAAGGAAACTTTAATAAATCAGTCATATTTGTAGAAGAAAAATATAAAGTAAATGGAGAAGGACTTTCTAAGCTAAAAGCAAATGAAAGAAACTTCACAAGGGGAGGAGAGTTCATTGATTTGACTGTATAAAAACCTTAAACTCTTGAATGTCAGACACCACATCAAAACAAAATGAAAAGTAAATAACCCAGGAAAAATACAGGATAGTGAAAGGGTTACAATCCTTAATATACAAAGAACTTATTAGAAAATGGACGAAGAACAAGAGCAGAGAACAAAAACAATGCAAGCAGCTAATAACCACAGAAAAGCATAACCCTTTCCAGTCATCAGAGGCAATCAGAACAAATGCGAGGCCGTTTTCTGTTTGCTTGGTAATGGTTGGTGTCCTGTGTTGGTTGGTGTCCTGTGTTGTCTGGTGGTGGTCGAGGTTTGTCAATTGAGTACAGGAGCCCAGCAGTGCTGAGAGTGAGGTGAAATGGACATCCACTCACCCTGGTGAGTATAAGCAGCTTAACTTGCAGAGGAGATAGTTGACAACTTACCAAGAACCTATAATTTCATTTCCTTTGACCCACTAACTCCATCCACTTCTTAGAAATTTGCCTTAAAAATATCAACATCCGTAAAGATGTCTGGACCCCTGGTGGCACAGTGGTTAAGAGCTATGGCTGCTAACCAGCTGCTCCTTGGAAACCGTATGGTATAGTTTACCCTGCCCTATAGGGTCACTGTGAGTTGAAATCGACTCGACGGCAGTGTTTTTGGATTTTTTTTTTGTTTATAAAGATGTCTATGTAGAGGTGTCATTTTAATGTTAAAAAACTTAAAAACTACAACAGTATAGAAATGTTTAGACATCCAGCATCTAACAGTTAATTATTACACAGTTAATAAAGGTCACATTTCAACAAAGGCTGGCATGGAAAAGGCCAAGCAGCCCATCAAGGGGTGTGGTTCCAGGTCTGTTTTAAATGTGTGTGTGTGCACGCAGGCTCTGTGTGTGTGCGTGTGTGTGCGCATCATAGGAAGTAGAATAAGGCCTGAGAGGAAGAGCACAAAGATGCTAAACATCGGCCATCCCTGGTGAGTGGGACGTCAGTGGTCTTTATTGCCTCATTTTTACTGTCTGTGTTTCCCAAAATTTTTTAAGTGAACTTATATAATTTTTAACTACTAAAAATATATATTCCAGAATCCGCAGATACTTTTCTGTTAGGCTTTTATATTTTCTGTTTGTCTCTTTTTGATAATGATTGCAATTAAACTACTTTGTTATCCGGGGCCATGTGTCCATTCTGAATAGGTAGGTTTGGGGGCTTGTGCCCAAGCAAACACACTGCAGGGACTCCTTCCTGGTGCTGCTCGGCTCCCGTCCTTGCTGCCATGAACTCACCGGTGGGGAGCTGGGGGTAGGGGGCTTACCAGCTGACCCCCAGCCCTTGCCACCACCTGCAGCCACACCCATCCCTGAGTGTCAGAAGAGGGCTTGGTCTTGGTCAAGTTTCCTCTACGGCCCACGGGCCAGCCCAGCATCAAGACGGTGGGCTGGAAGTGGCATACATAAGCTTTCATGTTGTGTCCATGGCCTGTTTCCAGTTGGCATCTTTGTGTGCCCACCAGCGCCCCTCTGGGGCTTGGGGTGAGGCACTCACCTTGCCAGCCTCAGTTCTGACACAGGAAGGCCATGGCTGTGCAGCGGGGCATCTGAGACTTTCTCTTGGTGGCTTTCTCATCTCTCTTAGGGTACAGTCAAGGAAGTATGTGAGATACAGTTAAACGTGAATCAGAGAATAGAGAATGTCTGTGGCCAGAGCATCTGCTGGCTCTTGAATGGAACCTTTATTTTCAGGTCTGCCTTGAGCATGAAGCCCACCATCACCCAGTGACGTAGTGACCCCCTGTGGTCACGGTCACATCTGCTCTGTCTTATAGCCGGCAAGCCGAGCCACCAAAGAAGGAGGCCACATCTGCAGGCCCTCAGGTGAAGCGGGCGGACGAGTGGAAGGACCCATGGCGCCGATCAAAGTCTCCCAAGAAGAAACTAGGGGTATCGGTCTCCCCTAGCCGGGCACGAAGGCGTCGAAAAACATCAGCCTCGTCGGCCTCCGCCTCCAATTCCTCCAGGTAAAAAGGCCCCATGGGAGCCGTGCCCAGTTGGGCCGCAGTCAGACTCTGCTGTGAGAGGCCAGTGGTGTGGGGCTGTGGCCTGAGGAAAAGTCAGGGCACTAAAGGGGTCTGTGCTTATTCAGCAGAGATTTATTGGGTAACTGTGGGGTGCTATAGAGAGTCAGGGCCAAATAAGACTGCCACTAAGAGCCAGGGCAAGGGATCACATACCCTAAAGTCAGCAGTTAACTCTGGTCAGGGTGTAGGGGGACCAGAGTAGGCTGTGGACACACCATAGAGGGCCCCACAGCCACCCAGAGGGAGCAGGAAGGGAGGGAGGGTACATTAGAGAGTGTCTTGACTAGACACCATGAGGCTGAAGACCAAAAGAGCTGTGTATACACCCTGTCACCAAATTACAGATCTGCCTCTCTGGGAGTTCGTTAGCACTTTTGAACCTGTGCATGCATGTGTGTGTGTGCGTGCACATGCTGGGTCTGAAAAACAAGCCCATGTGTTGTGGATGAGGAGAGCCAGGTCTCACTGCCAAGGAGTTAGAGATGCGGGGTAGGGTGGGCCCCCCGGTGTTAGATTGGACCTTCAGTGTCAGTGTGAATTCAGGGTTTTCAATTCAGATACAGATGGGTAGACACAAATAAACATACGCACCCAACCTTCTGACTCTGCTGAGAGGGCCTGGAGCAGTGACCTGGGAACTCCCAGGACTCCAGGAAAAGGGCATCAGGGTAAGCCTGGGACAGACCTCTGGGGGTCCCCAAAAGTCAGGAAGTTAAAGCAATCAGGTCTGTCAGAAGGACACTGGTGCCAACTTAAGGGCTCCCTGGGTCAAGCACTGCAGCAATTTAAGCTCAAAATAATTAATGATAAAATTGGGTATTATCTTATAGAACAAAATAACTAATGATAAAACCAGATGTTATCCCATAGAATAAAACAACTAATGATAAAATTGAGTTTTATCCTGTAGAATAAAATAAACATCCAGAGTCCATGTGGATATCAGTAAATCAGTGAATAAGTGAATGGGCAGAAGAACAGCTCTTCTTCTCCCTACAGAATTCTAGCTAATAAACGTCAAGGGGAGAGAGCCAGTAACCCAACATTAGCACCCACAGTGGTGCTGAATCGGAGCAGTGGGTGTGATAAGAAGCAGTGTGTAGCACAGCATCCAGTGACCTGTACAGGGTACTGCTCAGTGATGGGGGTAGGGAGGGTATAGTCGCCATGGTCCCCATGCAGTCATGGTTACACAGCCCCAGAGCTGAGCCTGTACCCCGAGGCCACACACTGAGGAGGACAATGTACGACTCTGGCCAGTGGCCAGCAAAACACAAGAGAGTGGCTGACGGGCTCTCCCCCAGGGTGCCAAGGTTGTGAGCCACAGGAAAGGCAGGGAATGAGGCAGGTGGGAAGAGCCTCAGGAGAAGCTGCGGATGCAGAGTGCTAGACCACCGCAGAGCATCAGGCCTCGAGGAAACTGGGGATGCGATGGGTCTGCGCACCAGTGAGCAGGCTGCACCAGCGCTCGTTTCCTGTGCTCAGTCATGGTATAGTGTTAACAACGGGGAGCTGGGCTAAAGGTAAGGCCAAATTATTTCAAGATAAAACATAAAAATTTTTTTAAATGAAAAAAGACAAAACATAGTCCCCACGCTTAAGGACCTCAGAATCTTCTGTATTTGCCCAAATGCTAAAAACATCCTGCAACCTGTGTTCTTATTGGAGTAAGGTAGAAAGGCCTGGCGTGTTCTTCCTGTTTCTGTGTCTGCAGCCGTCAGAGCTGTCGGAGCTGCTCGTCTGCTGGCTGGGGCACAGCAGCACCACCATGGCTTGCTGTGGAAATACTCCTCTGTATTTGGGGACAGCAGGGGAATAGTGCCCAGTGGGGGGTGTGTGTGCACACTATTCAAGTTGGCACTGAAGAGCAAAGTCTGACTAAATGTTCAGCAGTGGAGGCCTAACCTGCCCACCTCCTTTAATACAGGTCATCCTCACGTTCATCATCCTACTCTGGCTCTGGCTCGTCTCGGTCCCGTTCCAGGTCTTCATCTTACAGCTCGTACTCCAGCCGGTCTTCCAGACACAGCTCTTTCTCAGGCAGCCAATCCAGGTATGTCCCTGGGGAACAGGCATGCATGAGATGGGGCTGGTGGACCTCCAGACTGTTTTCATTCTGCAGACCTGACTGGTCAGGGGCCTCTTTTGTGCTGGACCTGAACAGAGCTGATGAACTTGGGCCCATCTGAATGCAGCCAAACCTTCAGGTCTGCCTACCTGCAGTGGCAGGGCTCCACCTGGACAGCTGTTCTGGGTGTGGTTTTCAGAACAGTATAAGTTCATTAGGTGTCTAGTGGTGAATTCTGAAGGACTTACCTGTCTCTCAGTCCTATTGTCCCTCCCGGGTGTGGCATGCCATAGGTACCGCACAGCACCCCCAGTGATGCCATGGGGGTTGGCGGCATTCTCACCCCAACTTCCCAGTTAATGAGCAGTGAGGAGTCCACACACATGCTTACACACATACCCCAATATCCCAGTCATTGAGCAGTGAGGGGGCACACGCACTCACAGACATACACACCTCGTTCCTTCTGGTGGCTTTATCACCATATGTCATTCTTGGCATGAAGCCCTCCCTGCTTCGCCGATGCATCTCACTGTAGTTTGTTGTTCCACAAAGATGATGCCTTCCTAGCAGGTGTCGTATTTTTTTTCTGGACGTGTTGTAGAGGGTTAGAAAGCACTAGTTGGAGATCCTGAGATCACTATTGGATCTGACAGTCGAGTTCACTTTTTTAGTGGGGGTGGAGCAAGTGAATAGATTATATGGGATCTATTTCCCAGGAGCATTGCCTCTCGTACAGAGCAGTAGACATCTGTGGGGGAAAAAGCCCCTTTTTCAAGGATATCTAGAGGATCAGCGATGGACGTAATTGCAGGCCCTCCACTGGGGTCTCACTTGTTACCGCCTGGAGTATAAGCAGTGCCCAGGGGTGCAGGGTAGGGTGACTGTTGTGAGGCAGATGGGGAGCGCTGCCTGGAGAAGGTGAGCTGGGAGACAGAAAGGACCTGCCCCAGCGTCAGAGATGGAAGAAAGAGAAGATCTGTGGCTCTTTTTAGAAATGGCTGATAGGAGGTGGGGCCAAGATGGCGGAGTAGTCGGACGCTTCCAGTGGACCCTTTTACAACAAAGACCCCAAAAAACAAGTGATTCAATTATATATGGCAGCCTGAGAGCCTGAACATCAAAGGCAGAGTTGAGGAACTGGACTGAGTGGTAGGGGGAGGGAGAGATGGTTCAGAAGGAGCGAGGAGTTGCCAGACCTGACCTGGTGAGAGCCTGAGCCCTTCAGGCCTGAGCAGCTCGTGGGTGAGTGGTGAGGCAGGCAAGCAGCCTTGCTTGGGAGCACGTTTTCCGCACCGGGAGAGACGTAGCCGCTGAGAGTCTACACAGCCACCCAGAACCAGTGAGAAGCAGCCCTTGATCCAGCGAAAGATAAGTACTTGCGTATGGCCTACTGGTGGATCAAAAATACCCACCTTAGGGAAAAACTTCTCTCCCATTTACCTCCCCGTTCCCAGCTCTGCACTGGGTCCCGGACCGGCTTCAGCAGTTGCCAAGTCCCCTGGGCTGGAAGAAGGATCTGTCACATGCCCTGAGACATTCTCCCTGCCTTGGAGAGTGAACAAATTAACAAACAGGAAAAAATAAACTGCTGACTCCCCTAAGCCAGGAACCCAGGGTAGGCACAGCTCTTTGCCTAGGCACAATCACAAGGGATCCATGGACTTTGTGTGGGCCCATCTCAACAGCGTAGGCCCTTATTACCACAGTACAACAGGGTATATACCAGAACTCTAACTTCAACTGTTTTCAGCTGTGAAGTGGCAGGTTCTTAACATTTGACACTGCTCTGCCCATTAAGCAGGGTCTTCAGCTACCCACATCAGGGGCCTGAGGACTGGTGGCTCCACCCATACCACCTAGCCACCTGCAATAGGGGCCCATGAATAAGAGGTGCCCCCCAGTCCTTACAGCCAACAGCATTAGGTGCTCATAGTCTGGCTGCAAAACGCACCCACCTACGCCCTCCAGGGAACAGGGACACACCTTCCTCCTGGACACTCGGGGTCAGCTGTCAGCCCCCTGCCTTGCTCAGAGTGTGTCCCCCTGCTGCAGCCAGATGCCTTTGCCTACACCAATCAGCCATGACTGTCTAGGACTGTAAGTGAGAGCCTATACTACACACTTGGCTATCTACTTGGGCACCTGAGCTGAATCCATACAGGAGTGGGTGGATTCCTGAGCTTACATACATAGTAACAGATCTAACCACCTGGTGACAGGACATTAGAGCTTCAAAAGTGCCAATAATCAAACTAGCTCATACAAGCGGCCTATTTGGGCATATCAAAACAAAACAAGAAGCTAGGACATGGTAAGCAAACATAAAATAAATAAATATAATAACTTATTGATGGCTCGGAGACAACAGTGAATATCAAATCACATAAAGAGGCAGTCCTTGATGGCTTCAGCAAACTCCCAAAATAAAGAGTCTAGAAATTTTCCAGAGGAGGAAAATTTTTTGGAATTACCTGAGGCAGACTACAAAAGATTAATATACAGAACTCTTCAAGAAATTAGGAAGGAAATTAATCAAAACCCAGAACACGCAATAGAGGAAATTAAAAAGATTAGAGAAGAGCATAATGACAAATTTAACAGGCTGCAAGAATCCATAGAGGGACAGCAATCAGAAATCCAGAAGATTAACAATAAAATGTCAGAATTAGACTACTTAATAGAAAGTCATAGGAGCAGAATTGAGGCAATGTGAGATTGAAGGTAAAGCACTTGACACCAGCTTATTTGAGGAAAAATCAGATAAAAGGATTTAAAACAATGAAGAAACCCTAAGAATTATGTGGGACTCTATCAAGAGGAATAACCTACGAGTGATTGGAGTACCGGAACGGGGGGGATAACAGAAGATACAGAGAGAATTGTTCAAGATTTGTTGGCAGAGAACTTCCCTGATACCGTGAAAGATGACAAGATATCTATCCAATATGCTCATCGAACCCCACGTAAGGTAGCTCCCAAAAGAAAGTCACCACATGTTATAGTCAAACTTTCTAAAACCAAAGATAAAAGAGAATTTTAATAGTGGCTAGGGATAAAGGAAAAGTCATCCACCAAAGAGAGTCAGTAAGAATAAGATCAGGCTATCCGGTAGAAACCATGCAGGCAAGAAGGCAATGAGATGACATATATGAAGCCTTGAAGGAAAAAACTGCCAGCCAAGAGTTAGATATCCAGCAAAACTCTGTCAGATATGATGGCAAAATTGGGGCATTTCCAGATAAACAGAGGTTTAGGGAATTTGCAAAAACCAAACCAGAATTACAAGAAATTCTAAAGGGAGCCCTCTGGTTAGAAAATCAGTAACATCATATAACAACCCAATGCTAGAACACAGGACAGAGCAACCAGGTATCAACCCAGATAGGGAAATCACAGAAGTAAATCAAAGCTGAAACATTGAAGATAGGGGAACAGATGTCAGTATGTAAAAGATGACAACAGTAAAACAAAAAAGAGGGACTTAAAAAATGTAGACATAAATTTTCCATATGGAGAGGAAGTCAAGGTGATAACAAATAAAAGACTGGTATAAACTTAGAAAGATAGAGGTAAATATTAAGGTAACCACAGAGGAAACTAACAATCCTACAAGAAATGGCTGGTAAGATGTCAGGAGAGAAGCCTTGAGGCCAAGCTGAGAATTTGGAGATTTTAGAAATGTGAAGTCACAGTGAAGTAAAGACAACTTATGTCAGAGGCGCCTGTGTATGTGTGGCTGGTTTCATAGAAGAACTTGGAAAGAGAGCCCTGTGGTCATACAAGCCTGTGGCCGTGATGAGGTACAAGATAAAGACACAGAGCGAAGGGATGCAGGCTCCAGGCTCGGTGCAGATCGACCCTTTGCCACATGTGAAGTAGAGGCTTCTCCATCCATCCTGCCTGAGGGAGGCCCAAGGGGAAGCCAGCGGAGGAGAGTGATATGTAAGGTCCCTCCAAGCTAGGATTCGACTACCACCACTCCTGGTGCCAGTTTATAGTGACATCCGATTGCAGGGGACTGAGCTTTCTCTTCTCTCAGTTCTCAATAAGTTCCACTCAGACCCAGTCCTGTGTTCCAGAGCCGACTGCTCTCATACGTGTCCTAAAATTCTCACAATTTGAACCTAAAGTCCTTAGCCATTTTCCCAGAATTAGGTACAACTTTCTTTGTGACTTAGCTTTTCCCTTGGGTAGAAAACGGTTGACTGTTAAGTGGGACCCCACCACCTACTCCCTGACTCCATCCGTGGGGAATCCTCCTTGTTCAGACCTGTGTCACTGCTAACAACCAGCAAGGTCAGCGCCCTCACGAGCAGGCACCAGTCTGCAGAGTCGGGCCAAGGAGGGCAAGGACCCTACGGGGAAGGGGCCGTCTCCCCAGCCCCTTGCCCAGGCACTGGCTCCTCAGCTGGTGTGTCTGAAGCTCAGGGCGGTGCCCTTCTGAGGACTAGGTGCCCGGAAGAAGGAATCACGGGTCAGGAGGAGTGGGGATACTGCCATGCAGTCTCACAGAAGCTTCTAGTCAGTCAGCTTGGCTTGGGCATTCTTTCTTTTCTTTCCATGGAGCAGCCCGGCATCAGTGAAGGGAACTTCTTCTGTGTAGTTTTGTCTTCTTAAAATATGGCAGCTCATATAACTGCATGATGCTAATCTTCTCATCTTCCTCTTATCTCAGTTTAGCTGCAAGTGTTGAGACCTGACAGGGAGGCACCATCAGATCAGCCTGTCACCACATGAATCACTGGGCTGCTCCAGCTGTCAGAGCTGCTCACTCAAACGAGCTCTCCTGGCGAGGTGGCCAAAGCCATGCCACAAGGCACGCACTGTGTTCACGTGTTGACACCTGAAACTTGTGTTGAAATTAAGCTCCCTATCATCCTCTCCCAGCTGTCCCTCCCTGTCCCAGGCCAGCCTCCACCTCGTCTGCTACCTTCTCTCCGATCCAGGTCCCGAGCTGGCAGCCAGGGCATCATCTCACAATGTCCCCTGCAAAAATGGGTTCCTCCCTTCCGGCCACTGGGTCTCTTGCATACCCCACTTGGCCCAGTGTGCCGCCCACTGGCTTCTGCCTCTGGCTCTACCCGGGCACCCCACAGTCAGCAGCAGGTTTTGTGTCTACTCGGCTGGTGTCTGTAGGCACATGGGGCATCTGGGCCCACTTCAGAGTAGAGCCATTGTCCCCTGGGTCATTGTCCCCAGCTGCGTACCCCTAAAACTCCCAGAGCTTACAGAGCCCCTTTTGGTTACTGGCTATCCCTTTTAACAATCTCCTTCCTACTCATGGGGTGTGATTTTAGGAAAGGACTGAAAGAATCATCTGGAAACCACAGCAGGTCTCAGGGAAACATAGAAGCCATGTGGTGTGGTCTCTGTGAGCCTGAGCACATCCTCAGTGTGGCCAGCCCAGCGGGACCCATGCTCAGAGCACCGCTGCTTCATGCCTCACGGACACCTCTGCTTGCTCCTAGGTCTCGGTCCTTCTCTTCGTCGCCGTCTCCGTCTCCAACACCTTCCCCCCACAGATCTTCCATCAGAACCAAGGGAGAGCTGGCCCCACCACCTGGGAAAGCAGGGTAAGTTCTCGGCCTTCAGAGGGCCACCAGCCTCTCGCTTTCACTAACTCTTATATGATGTTTGCAACGAAAGAGGCAGGCAGTGTCCTGGACTCTGCAGATGGGACCCTTGGGCAGTGGCAGGGACCATGGTGGGGAGCCGGGCTGGACCGCCCCTCCCTAGTTGTGCACACCCAGCCAGCCACCTGCCCTCTGAGCTGCAGCTCCTCGAGGGTGTTACAGGATGAAGTATTACCATGGTGGTTTCTATGGGAGCGCCCTGGGGGCTGTGTCTTTGTCATTGTATTTGTTATTCATGTCCCAGAGAGCAGTGAGACACCAGCTGCATGGCCAGCTCTGGATGCTATGCTTCGGGTGTTTCACGCCTAACTGGATCAGTTAACAGAAAAATCTGGACAGTCCTAAGCAACTGTGTAAAAACTCACTGTGCCATGTTGTTTCTGTGTGATACACTGTGTCCATGTAAGTTAACATTCATTGGGTGTTAACAAGCGTGTCCTTTTGAAGCCACCACCACCAGCAGGACACAGGGTTGTCCCTGCATCCCAGGTGCACTGGTTGGCTTGTGTTATCTCTGGAGTTGACGTGACTAGAGAGTGCGTGTGTCTCTGGCTCGCTGTCATTGCTGTGATTTTGAGGGCCAACCAGGATGCTGAGCTGAACCACTTACTTTGCCTGAGATTTTCTGTTTTCTGCTAATGTGAGCGTTGGTGCCAGGGTCCCCAAGGAAAAGCTTGCAGGGCCGGTGGTTCTCACACTGCGGAGGGTCAGGGTCTCCAGAGGGCTGGTTGTGACACAGATCTGGGACTTTGATTCGGAAGGGGCTGGGTGGGCGTGAGAGTCTGCACTCTAACACGGTGGTAGTGCTGCTCCAGGAGCACCTCTTGAGTGCACGAGGCTCGACAGGAATGCACCATCAGTGGGTGCACAGGCCTCCAGAGACCCGCTCTCCTCGCATACCCATGGGAAAAGGGGATACTGGGTACCTCACTGGCATCCTGGAAGTGCACGCAGCACTGAGTCTACAGGAAACAGTCTGGCACCCAGGGAGGTGCTAGAGACTGAGCAGCTCACAGGCCTGTGTGCTGTGTCTGAGTCCCTCTGTCTTGCAGGGAGAAATCAGTGAAGAAGCCTGCCCTGCCACCTGTCCTGCCTCAGTCCGCCAAAACTACTGCTCCCGCCCCTGAGCCCACCAAGCCAGGGGACCCTCGGGAAACCAGGAGGAAGGAGCGGCAGGCCAGGACCCCCCCCAGGAGGTGAGCGCGCCGGCTTCGGTGGTCACATCATTGGATACGAGAGATGCTGGGAACTGGGCTGGGGGCAGTAGACCTGACCAAACCCGGTTCCAGTTCTGCCCACTGGCCTGTGTGGCTATGCCAGTCCCGTCACCTCACGGAGCCTTGGTTTCCCCACAAGCACCGTGGGAGGGGTGGGGTGGTCTGTGAGGGGCAGTGCACCGAAGTGGTGAGCTGCAGTAATGGGGCACGGGGTTCCCTGGTCCCCGCCATGTCCTCTGTGGGCCCCTGGTAGAAATGTTGGTCTCTAGCTTCGTGCTGGTGCAAGTGTCCACCTCTGAGGCTTGGAGTTTTCATAGATGATGTTTGACAGCCCCGCTTGTGTTGCAGGCGGACGCTTAGTGGCAGCGGCAGTGGCAGCGGCAGCAGCTCCAGCGGCTCCAGCTCTAGATCCAGGTCTGTCAGTGTCCCCTCCAGGTTCCACCCTTCCTGGTCATGGTCTTTTCCCACATCAGGTCATTGTCGGGGTCCCCTCCAGGCCCTGCTTCTCCTGGTCATGGTCTTTTCCCAGATCCAGGTCACTGTTGGGGTCCCCTCCAGGCCCTGCCCCTCCTGGTCAGTGTCTTGTAAGCAGCTCACCCGGCGGGTGCCACCCTCTGGCAGTCTGTGAGTTTGAAAGTCACCAGAGGGAGGCTGAGGCCCGGCCACTGAAGGACGGCCATCAGCCTCCTACCTGAAAAGAGTAACCCACACACACAACAGGGAGACCCACGTGGCAGGAGAAGTGCTTAGGTGTCAGAAGGGAGCCTTTGCCTTCCTGACAGGGCCCAGGTGCCCTCCGTTCCCCATGAGACTCCCAAAATGTGGTGGAGGCAGCTAGGGGGCTGCCCTGAGACCTGTCTCAGGGGCAGTGGGCACAGGATGGCTGGGTTGGGCTAGCTAAAGGCCTGTCCTGCTTCCGCAGAGGGAGCTAGTCCTGGAGACCAGCCAGGAGGGGCCAGAGTGGGGGACAGGGAGGGCACAGAGCGCTAGCAGCCCCAAGGCATCCAGGAGGGGCAACAACTTGGAATTCCATCCTCTTTAGGAGTTTCCAGGTAGAAAGGAGAAAATTCCCAAAGCACGGCCTTAAAGTTTTTAAAAAGAAAAAAATCTGAGAGAAAAGAATAAGTAAAAACTATTTAGTAGTTGTTTAAAAAGAAGACAGTGTCAAAAATCAACCCTTATATTGAACCAAACTTTTTTTTTTTTAATTTCCAGGTAGCAGGGTGGTTTATACATTTAGCCCAAGTCTGTCTTAATAGGTGTAGAGTGTTTAAAGACCTAACCTTTAGGAAAAACTTCAAAAAATCTATTTGTTTTTTTCCGCCTCCTCTCTATTCCAGTGCCTGCGGTAGAAACGCAGGTGTTTTCTCCAGAACGTAGATTGTGCAGTTCAGGACAAACGAAGCAGCTGCTCCTGCAGCTTCGTTTCACATCCATCTGTAGTGGAAACTGGCAAAACCAAAGGGCATGTTAAATCAGATGTCGTTGCCCAAGTTTTAATAAGTCATACTCTGAGTTAAAATGAATGTAGTTAAAACATAATCTAGTGTTTAATTTTCTGTAGGTGAACGTCATTGTGTTTGGTTTTGCATATTTAACCAGGATCTTCTGATTAAATTCTGTTGTCACCAACTGTTTAGTCATGTTTAGTCGTATTTCCCTTCCCAGCAATCAGTGTGTCTCTTGATTAGGGGACCAGGATCCTCGCCACAGTGACCTGGGCGCCCTGCACTGAACTGAAAGGCACGTTTGCCTTCCACGTCCCCACTGAACTGAGGGTTTGGTGGACCATGAGCAGCCCCCACCCCCAGCCACCCTGCGGCCGCTAACGTGGTGCCCTGTGCTTCACGCAGGTCCCTGAGCGTGAGCAGTGTCTCCTCGGTGTCCAGCGCCACGTCAAGCAGCAGCTCAGTGCACAGCGTGGACTCGGAGGACATGTATGCAGACCTTGCCAGCCCCGTCTCCTCGGCCAGCTCTCGCTCCCCGACCCCTGCCCAGACCAAGAAGGAGAAAGGTACGTGCCCGGCCTGGGCTTGCGCAGCAGCAGGGGAGGGGCCGGTCCTTGGCAGAGAAGGCTTTCCTAAAGCCTTTCTTGGCACAGTTGTGGGCAGAGACTTGTGAGCCACAGACCCTGCAGGCAGGGCGGTGTTGGCAGACGCACGGAGACACACAGCACTTGCACTTTGTTGGAGGCATTGCCCTGCATTTCCTGCAGCAAAGTGGCACACAGCAGATGACACTGCAGCCAGTGACGGAAGATCTGTCTTAGCAGGAAAATCTAAAAAAGAGGACGGCATTAAAGAGGAGAAGCGGAAAAGGGACTCATCCACGCAACCCCCCAAGTCCTCCAAGCCCTCAGCAGGCAGCAGATCTTCACAGCAGCCCTCAACCCCTCAGCAGGCGCCATCGGGGCAGCCCCCACAGGCCGCATTTGTGGCCCACAAGGAGATCAAGCTGACACTGCTAAATAAGGTGAGCCCACGGGGCCCTCTGCTATACTCTGGTGTTCAGGCCTGCAGAGTGTCTGGGCCCACAGTGTCCAGGCCTTCAGCGCCTGACTCTGAGGCCATCCTGCTCCATGGGCAGCGATCCAGCATGTAGGGAGCAGGCTGTGCTAGTCACAGGTTGGACATGCAGACAGCATTGGGAGTCCAAGCATCCCAGCGCTGTAGGAACGCTTCTGCCCTGGAGAACTCACTTCCCTCTGCCCATCCCCCATCGTGCCTGAGGCCAGGTGCAGGGCTTGGCGTGAGGGGTGGCATCTTCACACCATTAACCTCTCTGAGTGGGCAGTTTTGCACAATGTCCCCAGACCCCCTGGGTGCCAGCCCCACCAGCTCTGAGCCCCACCCAAGTCTGTACAGTGTGGCTGTGGGGGTTGCAAGGTCTGGGGTGCCTTGACCCCACATCTGAAGGTCATAACAAAACGAGGATGTACCCCCAAGGGAGCAGCCTGTCAGCAAAGGCTCCTTCTCCTCATTTGGCACTTCCCTCATAGCTCTGCTCACGAGGCAGACTTCTGCGGAGCACGTGCTCAGAGGCCACACAGAGGTGTAGGGGCTCGTGGAGGTGATCCTACACAGGAGCATGAGGGCAGAGGGTGAGGACAGGGCTCCTGCCCACCCTGGCTGAGGCTTGCCCCTCACACTCTGCCCCCTGCCCACCTCACCCCAGGGCCTGCCTCCTCACTGTGCCACCATCACTGTTTCAGGCCACTGATAAAGCCAGCAGGAAGCGCTACGAGCTGTCAGACAAGGACAGACAAAGTTCTCCTCCAGCCAAGCGGGCCAACCTGTCCCCAGACCGAGGTGAGCTATCCGGGCCTACTTACGGTCAAGCTGTCGTGCCCAAACTGGCTGGGCTCAGGACCCCGTTTTCCCTTACAAAACTGAGGACCTAGAGAGGTTTTGTATAACCACGTTCTCCAAAGCCAATAGCACTAGAGGAAGAGTGGCGTTGGTTTTTCCCTTTTCACAAATCTCTCTGCTGTGTGGTTTCCCATAAGCTGCTGGACTCTCCTATCTGTTGTGTATCTCATGCCTCATAGCCTCTGACACTCCACTGTGTGTTCATGAGAAAGGGAAGGTGAGTGGCTGACAGGGCCATATTATTACTAGGGAGGTGACCCTTGGGGACCCTGGTGGCCTGAACCACCCTTTAGGAACCTCTGGCTCAGACTGAAAGATAGGGCAGATGTCTCCTGGCGGGCTTTAACGTGTAAAGCAGAAGGCCCAGTTTTGCCAAACCACCATGCCTCCCTAAATGGGAAGCACAGGGCAGGCCCCCAGCAGGTTGGTCTAGGCTGGCTGCAGGTCCCTGGCCCATCAGGGGCAGGAGAGGAACCCAGGGTCCACCCAAGCTCCTGGAGTTTGCCCTCCCACTGTGGAGTAGGAGCGCAGTGCTGAACTCTCAGTTGTCTTTCTCAGATGCCATGCCCTTTGTTTGCTGGTCCCTCCCCTTATTTGCTTTTTTATAAAGATTAAGAAGGCATATCGCACAGCCTCTGGCTCCTGGGTAAGCCCTCGCCATCCACTTGCTGGGGGCCCCAGTGCGACCTGGATGTTACCTGTACTTGAGAAACACCACTCCTATGTCCGTGTTGCAGGTTCCCGGGACCGGAAGTCGGGAGGGAGGCTAAGCTCTCCGAAGCCCGAGCGGCAGAGAGGTCAGAATCCCAAAGCTCCTGCGACACAGCCTGACAGGTAGGTGCCATGGAGGGAGGGGGCAGGTGCGGGTGGATGAGTGGCGAGGCTTGTGGGGTACAGAGTCGCATCCTCACTTGCTGCCTAAGCACTCAGACGGGTGGCCTCCTGCACTTCCTGTCAGAGGAGACTTGAGTGCATGGCAGGAGGGGCAGGTTTCCTTGCCAGAGGTGCACCTCTCCCCCCCTCCCCATGCAGGGCTCCTGGGCTTCACTGGGCAGGGCAGAGGGGTGGGACTCAGCAACAGGGGCATGTTTTTGGAATCACCAAAGAAGGACAAGAGGGAGGGATCAGTACAAAATTTCCCCATACACACCCACACCCACACCTGCTCCTCAGCCACAGTGTTGCTTAGGGCTGGAGCGTGGCCTGGGGCTCCCTCCACAGAGGAAAGAGGAGGATCAGCAGCCAGGCATGACTGTGGCCAGAATGTACTGCTTTTGAGGGGCTGGCCCGGCAGAGCTTCATTTTCTTGCTCAGCAGCACGGGTGTCGGGCTGGGTCCTCCACCAGGCTGGAGAGACCGCAGAACAAGATGGGGCACCCGCCCCCATGGGAGTGTTTTTGATCCCCCATAAACACAGCTTCCAGGGAGGGCCCCTGCCCCTGCATTACTCCTTCCACCTGCCCTGACGATGCCCGCCCTCCCCACCAGAGCGCTGAAGGGGGCATCAGTGGTCCCTTGAGCCAGGTCTCTTGTCCACACTTGCATGAGGCCTGGGGTCAAAGATAGAGCTGCTGCCTGGACAGAAGCCCCATGCCCTCCCTGACAGTCCTCCTCGCCCCCGCAGGAAGCGCCAGCTGTCACCCCAGTCCAAGGGCTCCAGCAAAGTCACAAGTGTGCCTGGCAAGGCCACGGATGCCAGTGCCACTAGCGCCGCCCCCAGCACCAAGTCCGGGAAGGCCAGCACGCTGTCACGGCGCGAGGAGCTGCTGAAGCAGCTGAAGGCCGTGGAGGATGCCATCGCCCGCAAGCGGGCAAAGATCCCCGGCAAAGTCTAGTGGCCGAGGGTCTGTCCCCAAGCAGAGACTCACAGCGTTTTATAAATAGGTGAGCGCAGCCATTTTGGATTTTGCAGTGAATGTCTTATTTTGGCTGCAATTGTTTTTAAAAATTAAAAAAGGAAAAAAAAAAGTTTCTCATCTGGAAAAGAAGCCACACACCTAATGAAGATGACGCTGAATCCCAGCTGCCGCCCCACGAGACTGAATCCAGTCCCTTCCCAGAGCAGAAGTCCTGCAGGCAGACAGACGGATGGACAACAGCTCAGCAGTGAGGCGGCACATGCAGCACCATTTTTTATGTAAATTATATGTCCCAGACAGGCACCCACGTCCACCCGGCCGGGTTCATTTTGTCCCCTTCTCTCGAGTTCTCTCTTTCTCTCTTGACTCTCTCGATTTCGTTCCCTCACCCTCTCTCCCCCTTTCTCTGCCACCCACCACCCCTCTGCTAGTCAGGCGTGTTCTCGTCAGCCTTGCTGTGTGTTCCGTGTCCTCATGACACCGTTCTCACCGTGTAGCAAGAAAACCAGAAACTTCGCAAACTACTGCAGCCTCTCCCCTTCCTTGCCCGTCCCCAGGATCAGAAAAATATATATATATTCTTGACTAAAAGCTGATTGGGAAATATTTCCTGTCTTTTATTTTAAGCATCAAATTGTTTTAGTTGATTTAAAAAGGAAAAAATAATACAGAAAACACCAAAAATAAATAAGGCCAAGGGTATTGTTGGGGCGTCTGTCTAATGTGGAGGGTCTTTTTTTGAGGGGCTCCTAAATAAAATATTTTGATAAGCAGTTGTTCTGGTCCTCTTGGTGACATGTGCGTGTGTCCAAGCACCTCCCTCCCTAGAGCTAGTGGCTGCCCTGTGCCCCCTGCCACAGTGGGCACGCTCCCTGAGCCCCCCATGGTAGACATCTGATGGTCAGGAGCCCAATGGAGAGTGCAGGCAGCCGAGCTGAGCTCCAACATGTGTGGGAGTTTCCCTCCATTGCCCAGCCCTAGGGGGTAGCTGGCAGCCCCTCACTTGCCTGTGCAGGAGCTCCAACTTCTGGGTCAGCTCCTCACAGTGTGTGGACATGAACTGAGCTGGCAGTGCTGGCCACAAGACAGGAGATTGGCCCCTTAGACATCCCCTGGACTCAGGCCTGCCTCCCCACAGGAAACCTGCTCTAGGCGTCAGCACTCTTACATGCAGCCTGATCCCGACCAGACGTGTATGTGTCATTGTGAAGCCTGGGCCCAGAGCAGACCCACCACCATCCTAACAGCTGCCCTGATGCAGCAAGGAGTGAGCCCCCGGGAGGCTATGGACTCAGGGACTCGCCCCAGCTCCCCTCTCTGCTGCAAGCAGAAAGTGGAAGGAGCTTCCTGCACCGTTGCCAGTGTCCACCATCTCCCGCGTGGCCTCGGCATTCTCTAAGGCAAACTGGGGACATGAGTTTACCATCTGAATTCAGTATGCGATGGTCACACTCAGCAAGATGAGGCCATGTCGAGCCAGCCACATTCGTGCCTGCTTATCCCCGAAACCAGGCACGGAAGGTGAATCCACCACACAGCCACTCCCCTCTGTGACCAGCGGGAGGCCAGCACACTGAGGTCAACTGGACCCTGGCCACAGAGGTCTCAGCTAAGACAGTGGCCCGAAGGTAGTGTCGACAGGCCATGGTTGTTACCCACCGGGGTGGGGGTGGGCCAGGTGCCCATGGACCCCTCCGGAGGTTTGAACTCCACACACAGGTGCCTGTCCTTGGAGAATGGTCGGCCACACCCCAGCAGGACTAGTGAAAAGAAGATTCCAGTCCAGGCCTTTGGGTGAAGGAAGGCCTGTTGTGTAAGGTGGGAAGTCCTGGGGCATGACTGCCTTCCAGGGACCGTGGGCTGAGATGTTCATGGGTGGTTAGCATGCAAATTGAGTCAAGGCCACTTCTGTCTGGAAGACTGCTCCCCAAAGGCAACCCATCTCCCCTGGGACCCCAGCCCTCTGATCCCTGTTCTTCAACAGCTACAGCAGCTCATGACACTCACAGCCCCATCCTCCAGCTTTCTCACCACACCCCTGCACCCTCTACGACAGCCTCACCCGCATACCCTCCATGCCAGCCCTGCCCCTTCCCCTTTGTCCCACCTCAGGGCCTTTGCACATGCTGTTCCTGGGACTCTGCTAGTCACCTCCTCCCCCTCCCCCGAGAAAGCCACCCTGACCCTTTGTGCCACCGTCACGGCTTGTAGACCCAAGTGTCCTTGGCGAACAGTCCCCCTCTGCTTGTGATTAATGACTGCCGTCTCAGCTGCTTTCCTCAAGCGTAAACCCTTGAAGCCTAGCGCAGGAGTGGGGGCGTCACTGTCAGGGGGACAGAATGTCATGGTGGTGGGAATGAGTCCTGAGGGATGTGCATCCCAGCAGAAAACCAGAAGGGCCTGATCTTGATGACCACCCCCTAGCTCTGAGGCAGGGCCTAGGGTAGTAGGCAGCAGGAAACGCTGGGCAAGGGACCCCCCCACCCCCCACCCCGGGGGACGTCCTCAGGTGCAGGATCAGGCTCCTGGTGGATAGACTCCTCCACTGTGCGCGCCCCAGTTCTGGTGGAAAACGTCCCTCCGCCGGGCAGGACCCTCCGCAGACCCTCCTCTCTCCCGCTCAGCCTTGCTCGGGTACCGATAGTAGGATCACCCATTTCACAGATGAGGGACTGAGGCGGACAGGCCTCCCCAGGGAGGGAGGGCCGAGGCAGATCCAGATCCCAGGATGGAGGGAAGAGCCTGGCGCAAACCACTCCTGCAGACCACCTCCCTCTGTCCAGCCAGGGCTGCACTGCTGCAAGCCAAAGGCTGGGAACTCCCTGGAGGCGCCCATCTGTCCCGCTGTCTGTTTCTGTTTTTCTGTCTTCCTGCCTTTCTCTTTCTGGCCCTCTCCCCTGCCTTTCGATCCGCCAGTCTCTTGTATCCCTGCACTAACCGGGTTTCCGCCCTCTTCAGTCTACGTCTCTCCTTTCTCTCCGCCCATGGGGAGGGGCGTGGTCTGGAGAAGGGCTGGGCCTATCTGGGCTCCGCCGCCTCCCAGCAGCCCTCCTGCCTTCTTCCCGCGGCTGCCTTTCCAGTCTTGCCCAACCCGGGACTTCTGGCCTCGCCTCAGCCGCCCGCAAGAATGAGGGAATGAGGCGCCTCCGCGGCACCCGCCCTATGTCCTTCCGGTTTTCCCGCCCACTGGTCGGCTCGCGACCCTCGGCCCCGCCCAGGCCCCCAGCAACCACCCATCGGCCTGCGGGTCCCGTTGGTCCCCTCGGACAGTTTCTCCCCCTCCGGCCGCGGCCCCTGCCAATTGGCCGTCACGACCCAGCGGACCAGCGACAGTGACAGGCCGATTCGCGTGGCCGCTGCTGCTGCAGCGTGGGGTGGCCCAGGCGGGATGGGGGCCTGGGAGAATCCTACACTGGGGGTCCCTTCTTCGTCCCTCCTTCCCCCTGCCCCGATTCCCCTTTCGCGCCGCCCACTAGCCCTCTGTGCCCTCGTTTAGACGGTTTCATTTGTTTCGTCATTCACTGGGCCCGTGGCCCCGAACGTAGTCCTGCCCCCAGGGGCCACGGCCCAGCGAGGGAGACCGCCTGTGCTGTGACAGACACGGGGAAATGGGCAGTGTTGGGAAGAGTGGGGCCCTGTGGAGGGGACGGGAGGGGATGGGCCGCCTCCCCACGCCCCGCTCCTCCTCTCTTGCCGCTCCGCCCATCTCCCCTCTTCTCCTCCCAAGAACGCTGGGCAAGCTGAGCAGACTGCTCACAGCACAAGGTGTCCAGCCGAGGGGCGAGTGGGGGTTGGGGAGGGGGCTGAGCTCCAGCTTGCGTCCCCGCACACACACCCTCCTTACGCTGGCCCCCCAAGGAAGCCCTCTTTCTAATTCTGCACAAAGGATGCGCCTCTTGCCCCCACAAGTCTGCCCCCTTCCTTCCCTCTGCTGGTTTCCTTCTTCCTTCAGTTTTCCCCTCAGCTTCAGTGCCCCAGGAGCACACCTCCTGACTCACAGATCCAGAATGTGGGCACAGGAAGGCCCTGAGGGCTTGCACGCACCTAAGGACCAGGAAGGGCCCCCTGACTCCTGTCATCGGAGTCCCACCAAGACCTGGGACCAGAGTGGGAGCAGGGCCAGGCCTTGCCAGGTGCCCCCTTGGGGTTCGCACACAGCACCTCCAGCCCAGCTGCAGGCCCCTTGGCTATTTGAGAAGGGGCATCCCGGGCCATTTGTCCTGGAAGGAGAAGGACCCTGCGGCTGCTTGGCAGGTGTGAGCCACAGGAGGGACTGGTGGGAGGGGGAGGAACGGCTGCGGGAATTCTGGAGAAAAGACAAGTGACACCGCTGGCATGACATAGTCACTGTCATCATCACTATCCTTAAAATGGTGGGCCCCACCGACTGCCCCTTCCAAGAGCAGGCAGGTGGTGTCACCTCTGGTGCGGCCTGTGAGCTGAGCAACTGTCGTCCCCAATTTCACCGACAGGGAAACTGAGGCTCGTTCCTCCCCCACTCATTCCTGGACACTCACTGAGCCTCCACATGCTGGGCACAGGCAGGGACACCACAGACCAGCCCCATCTTGGGGACTGACACTGCCTTTGCAGTGGGGGGGCGGGGAGGTAGAGAACAAGGGACTGGAATTTTTCTGGGAGACCCCTGGGTGCCCCTACAGGGGGCAGAGCTCAGCCTAAGGAGGGCCTTACCTGAGGCTGGAGCTAACCCACAGGGGGCTGAATGGTGGCCCCAAAAAGTGTCCATGTCCTAAACCCGTAGCCTGTGAGTGGAACATTATTTGGAAAAAGGGTCTTTGCAGATGTCATCAGTAAAGGAGCTCAAAATGAGATCATCCTGGATAAGGGTGGGCCCTAAACTGGGCCCTAAACCCACTGACAGGCGACCTTGGAAGAGAAGAGAAAGGCAGAGAGAGATCAGAGACAGAGAGAGATGGGGGAGAGGCCATGTGAAGCCAAAGATGGGAGTGATGCCTCTGCAAGCCAAGGATCACTGGCAGCCACCAGAAGCCAGAAGAGGCATGGAAATGAATGAGCCCTCAGAGCCTCTAGAGGGAACCAGCCTTGATCTGGGGCTTGTGTCCTCCAGAACTGTGAAAGAATATAACATCTGCTGTTTTCAGCCACCCAGTTTGTGGTGCTTTGTTACAGCAGCCCTTGGAAGTCAATACTCACAGGTGGTGAGCTCCCCATTGCAGGAGGTATGCCAGCAGAGAGTAGATGGCCCCGGGTGGGGCGCTGTGGGAGGACCAGCCCTGGGTACTCTGAAGTGCTGGAAAGCAGTGGAG